GAGCATCCCTGACGGACACCGCTTTGTGTACGGAAGCTTTTGGAGAGCTCTTCGTACACTCTCACACGTCCGGAAGTCTGAGAATACAAAGAACGTATGATGTTTACAAACTTCCGGGGCATTCCTTGGTGGGCAAGCGTCTCAAGAAGAACAGATTGATCAACCGAGTCGAATGCGCCTCGGAAATCCAGGAATACTAGAATCGTGGGTCGCTTATACGTATGGCGTTGTTCTAGCACCTGATGCAGTGTGAAGATTTGGTCAACACAACCCCTACCAGGCTGGAATCCCCCTTGCTGCTCTCGAGTATCTCTCTCAAGGCGACGAAGCACAATTGACGCCAACAGTCTCGTTACAACCGGAGTCAGGCTGATCACCCTGTGGTTACCACACTCACTACGCGCGCCTTTTTTGAAAATGGGCACTATCACCGATTCTCCCCAGTTGTCTGGGATAGACTCCTTTTCCCAAATACAAGCAAACAGATCGGACAAGCGCTGACTGACGACTTCACCCCGTCTTTGAACAGTGCGGGTGGAAGGTCATCCGGACCGGGAGCTCGGTGGCGCTTGAGAGAACACATGCAGTCGTAAACCTCTGAGGCCGTAGGTGGTTCCACGTTCACCATTCAGGGTTCTACTGCACCTGTGAGCTCTAGATGAGTGCCGGCTGGTGGCCACGACAGTTGTTGTTCGAAGTATTCAGCCCACCGGTCGAGGCGTTCTTCTTTGTTCGAGATGGTCGTTCCATTCGGATGTTTGATGGTTTCGCTCACAGGTGGTTCCCGGGGACCGGTCGCACGGATTAACTGAAATAATCTCCGGGTATTACCGGCTTTCTGGGCCTCTTCCATTTCTTTGGCTTTCTGTGTCCACCATAGTTCACGGTCGGATCGCAGACTCACTTTCACTTGATGTCTGATGGCTCTTCGCACCGGGTTATGTTCGGACACGGCTGGGATATTTCTTCGAGATTTAAGTAGTGCCACCGTTCGGTCCGATATCCAGTGCTTAAGTGCGCCTAGTCGGGTCGTGCCACAGGCAAAATTTCCCAGCACTGTGCCAAGAGGTGGCAATCTCGTCCAAGAATGAGTTCACATCTGATGGTGGAGCGTTTGGAAGAGACTCTAGAAGACGACTCTTGACACCCGGATCTGCCAGTCTTTCAGTTGCCATGCGATTTGTCCGCACCTTACGCGGCCCCGGGAAACGTAGGGAGAGACCCTCTCCATGGAGGAACTTGATCCTTTACTCAAATCAGCTGTCGCCCAACTTCCGTGAAAGCAGATTTATAGTACAACGAACAATTACAACATCACACTTTCACACACACTTATTTAACTTGATAGGTAAAACGGTATCTCGCAAAAAAACAGTACATAATAGGACTAAGAAAAATCGTGACATTGTGTGCGAATCCCTGTCTAAAGGTAACGAAACGTTTTGAACATCAGTGTTCTCTCGGTTGTGTGAAAGTAAGATATACTTCATGAAGTGTTTGTTTTGGTCTACGGAAATAGAGTGACTTTTGGAAATCATAACTGGAAACTGCACGGTATAGACGTGAAGAAAACACAGATGACGGGAACCGTGCATTCACCAACCTTCTTACGGGGCAGATACAATGTCACCTGAGATTTATTGGGACTAAAGCTAACATTGGACTAATCGTATCACAAAACACTCAGTGAACCAGTAAATTTCGCAATAAGATGCGTGCTGCGGGGAGGCGTTACTGATGTGAATATCTAGTGAGGGCAATACCGAGCATCCCAATACCATCCACAATTCGCGAGGTCATGTGGTCGGTTGAGGAAACGCCCGTACGTGACGCAGAGTAATAATGACGTGCTACTGAGCAAGACGTAGCGGTTTAATTGGCACAACCTTTTAAAAAGTTTCTAAAACTCCACTTCATTTCAGAAAAACGGTATATTGCAGTCAATGTGGTGTCAAGAAGAGAAAAAAGAAACACACTCGCTTAAGTTGCTCCACAACCGGATAGGCATCACAAAAACCGCCGACTGAACCGATATTCAAGACACTGAAGTATGCTCTCCCCGTGCGGTACTATGTAAACGACTGGAAAAACTGTTCGACAGCTGGTCATCGGTTCCGGGTAACAAGATAGGGGTTGTCTCTGAATTGTTGCAAGAAATTTGAGAGCTACAGGTAGATGTTCTTTGGTTTCTCTCGTGAATAGCCCTTTGCTATGACAGATACTGATCGGATTGGGTCGGAACAATGTGCTTCCACCATGCTTCTCACACACAGGACGAACATATACACATGTATGCCTAGCACGCCAAACATAGGAATAAACTGAATGTGACAAACATATAGTTCAAACAACACCTCTGTACTGAGTGGTCAATAAACGAGTTATTCAGACAGCGGACGGTAGGGTAGAAGGTGTTTGGATAAGTGTCGTTAGTATGCAGAAAATAGAGGCCAAGTGCAGCTGATGTGAAGTTAGTGACAATCCACGAGGTGAAGTGTCAAAGTACCATGAAAATGAGTACAAAACGTATGAGTTGAATGAAGCACGCAAATCTGATTGGTATAATTGGTGAAGTGGTTCAATTGATATCGATTGCTGCCGATGTATCGAAGCACTTAGTTAGCTGAGAGTATGTGGGGGGGGGAGGCTGGGAATGAGACAAACATATAGTTCAAACAACACCTCTGTACTGAGTGGTCAATAAACGAGTTATTCAGACAGCGGACGGTAGGGTAGAAGGTGTTTGGATAAGTGTCGTTAGTATGCAGAAAATAGAGGCCAAGTGCAGCTGATGTGAAGTTAGTGACAATCCACGAGGTGAAGTGTCAAAGTACCATGAAAATGAGTACAAAACGTATGAGTTGAATGAAGCACGCAAATCTGATTGGTATAATTGGTGAAGTGGTTCAATTGATATCGATTGCTGCCGATGTATCGAAGCACTTAGTTAGCTGAGAGTATGTGGGGGGGGGGAGGCTAGGTGATGAGCATATATGACATCGCCACGTGCAGCATGAAAAAAGTTCAGTGACTCACCACAGCGTGACGATGTGGTTTAGCTGCTTCACTTAAAAGCACCTGACCAGAAGGTGACATGCTATCAGCGGTCTGGTTAACACCAAAAGGTTTAACCAGAGTGACCAGTACGTGCCAAGTTAGAATAAGACGTGGAGGCGAGCTTAATGTCATCAGCACCAACGCATTACCAGATAAGGAGCTGAAGTGGATAAGCAGGACAATGTTCAGATCTATATGAAATACTGCCTGAGTTACCTGAGCGAAATGCATGTCAGTGTTGTGTTTAATGAGATGAGGAATCATCCATTGAGTTAAATAAAATTTGGCGCAATCCAAGGTAAAACTGCTGGGTAACAAAGGATATGGCGGAAGTTGAAAATCCGCCAATGCCAAAATACGGGAAGAAGCAATCCAATTGTATTCCACAGGAGTATTTGTGTCCATTTAAGTCAATGTACTATTCGTCTATTCCAAATAACCAATGACTTAGTTCATATAGACGGGTAATAAACAGCAAAGCTTGATATGCTACCCTCATATGGCGATAGGCATGAGGTCCATGAGACCTATGGGCAGTTTACTATTGGTTTCGGCCTTCTCGGGGCTTATCAAGTAGATCTGGTTCACGGATTTCCAAAGATCGTATTTCAAACTTCAGTACCGAATCGCACGTGGGTCGCGATAAACACGAAAAACTCGACTGAATCCCTCGTCTATGGTAACCTTAAAATGAATCTGCCGCACAAAGGCCGTTTCATTTTTCATTTGGAACAATATTCGAGACAACAAAGTATTTTCCTGGCACAAGTCACAGCCCATTCATTCAACACATCCGCAAACGAGAGATTCAGTTGAATTTTATTCGCGTCTCACATCAACACCGGGTTCATTTGCAACTGAGCTTTCATAGTTATCCTGGTGTTTACACTAGTAGAGTCACGGTTAAAGAGCTCGAAAATCTCATAGAGGCGGATGCAGGTGAATGTGACAGCTTAGATTAAACTCAGTCGAAAGCAGTTTCTGGTGGAGCCGTGAGGAACAACAGATGCCTCAAGGAGCACATCGCAAATCAAGCGAAGTACTCGTATTGACAATAAGTCGATCAGTTTATCAGCTATAAACTGTGTACCATAGACACAATGGCCCCAGCTGCTAGTTTCGAGCAGCGGGAAGTGGGAGTGTGGGATATACAGGTGAAAGGGAGAAGGCCCTCACTGCGGAGTTATTTATTAGGAAATGCCAGCTGACCGGTTACAGACCATTGAACAGGGAAGCAAAACTCTAATCTGCATCTTAGTTACAAAAACTGGACACAGATCTTCTCCCGAACGAGTCTTATTGAACTTTCCTGGAGATTCATCGACTCCACTCATTCGTCGGTCAAATCCAAGCGAATGTTACAAAGTGGCTCCACGAATTCCGCAATAGACCTCCCTTTTTCAACAGACGCAAAGCGAAATTCTACGAACAACACATATTACTCGCGTGCCTCCCCATCAGTAGTATCACCGTTACACAGGTAGGTCTTGGAGGCAACGGCATATTTGGTTAGCTACGCATTGAAGGCGATAGCTTCGGTGCATGAGCGCCACTGACTGCGCGATTGGGCCGTTTCCGCGAGCGTCATCAACCATTGATGAGTTGAGTCCCGGGGGTCCCCATCCAAGGAGGCAGCAGTTGTCCACTCAACTAAGTTTACTAGACTGGGTGGAAAGAGTTCTGTGAGGTAGACAGTCTGCTGGCATGCGGAGTACATGTTCTAATCAGCACAGCCTACGAGGCGTGAGTACTTCATCTATCGGAGAGTTCCCGCTTCCTAAGACCATTTGATACGCTTATCGCGTATACCTAATGAGTTTTGCCTGTGTATATAATGGGATAAAATTGAACCAATCTGCTTTCAAAGCGTGCCTCCGTTGTTTTACACTGGGAAATTGAAACTGCTTGTAACTGAGCAATATGAGAAAACACGTGTGCGCCCAATTTTTTCTGGCAACATCTTCCATTTCCATTTAGGGAAAATAATCATGAGGAAGTCAGTTGACTACCCTGACTTTTATTTTGGTTTCTAGCTAACCGGAAACCTATCGGCGTGGAGATAACACATTTACGCCAAGAAATTGAGTTGTTGTTTTTTCAAAAAAGGCTTCTATCATCAACTGCCCGACTCATCTCGGATGTTGCCAGTTCAGCAACAGTTGAGGTCTTGCGTATCCTACGAGGGACGTGACAGATCACGTCAACAAGAAACCCAGGATAACCATATTACTGGCAATTGGACAGAATGCACGAAAAGTTCGCTCAGTCTTTGTCGGGGGAGGAAGAATAATGTAGTAAACCACGTATGAATATGAGGAGCTATTATTTCGTTACCAAAACCACGGTGAGAGATAGGGCTTGAAACCAGAAGTAGGGCACTCCGAAGACCGATCAAATAATATGCAAGTATCTGAGTGCATTGGCGCCAAGTTAGGTGATTCTTGAGTGTGCAGGACCGTTCCGTAAGTGGACACTTACACTGCGTATCTCGCCTCTTGTCCAATTTGAATCGATGGATTAACTCATTCGATCTTTGGCTCGGTTTAAATAAGGATGGCTATGTGGACTTGTGGTAATCACCCTCTATTGGTTGACATTGATGGGCGATGAGTTGATTTACAGGAACCTGTGAGTGCCGACGAACAGTCGTGAGGAGTTTGCGGCTCCGACAATCGAGAGGCGGCGGGTTACAAGAGCCAGAAAATCCGAACTGACTAAGACCGTTGTCAGGACAGCAGTTCTGTCTACCCGGCTAATCGGGTCTAAACTAGACAGGGGTATTGTTTCAAAAGAGTAGGGCTTCAAACGTGTGGAAAGATAGATTGGCTCGGATGCGATAAAGCCGAGCTAATAATTTCGCACAAGACAGAAGGACCACAATTTTGCGAACAGAATGAACCAACAGGTGGGGAATGTGCCTACTTGATAAGTCTCAATAAGGGTAAAATCGGTCGTGAGCTGTTGAACAGTTTTCAGCAACCTTATGGATAGTGTGCTCCGTCAAGTTTACAACACCAGCAGTCTGTGCGGAGATCAACCTAATGGAGCTCAGTGAGCTCTAATAATCCTCTGATAACCTATTAGTTTAACACATACCTCATTAAGTAGTGGGTGCATGTTCACCGAAGTGCATATAAATAGACAGAAAAGAAACAATTTTGTTCAACACCGCACGTACAACGGGTGTGTGGGTACGTCTGTGTGCAACTAGACACAAGTAAAACTGATTAGCAGAGCGATGTGCGAGCATAGCGGTGAAGAAATCAAATCATGTGACTGTAACCAGCTTCATCAACGATGTTGCCAGCTTCTATACGATAATACTACCGCACTGGACAAAGGCAAAACAAGTAACGGTTAAACGCAGGTAAAGGTAGAGGGGTGGTGATTGTTGAAAGACAGAGCTGTTACAGTGGCCACCAGTGTAGTAAGCCAAACGATGATGTCATAAATATCATAGATACACTTACGGGGTGAAACTCGGCCCATCTATCATTTATATAAAAAAGTGAGTCTAATTTTGTATTTCAACCAATCGGTTGTTAAGAATGCCACAATGTATCAGTTGTGAAAATCTTCGGAACTCATAGACTGAAAACATACCTCTTAAAGCAGGAAGCTTAGTCGAAAGAAACAGTCGTTGACCAAACGAACTTGAGTCGTTTTGGAATGTGAAAACTACTGATAGCAAAACGCAGTGGCAGAGCGGTAGGAAAGATTTTTGTCGTCAATCCCTCCTTTCTCCTATAAAAACCCTTTTGATTGTTCTTTTTAAGCCTATTTCAGTGTTAAATCCCCATTTAGAAGAGAATGTAAATCACAGAGTGGAACAAAGTTAATTGCAAGGTTCCCCTTATACATTTTGCCGTTATCCGTGGGACGGTAACTTGGGGCTCTGCTTCTCTGAAAAGAACACCCGCTAGAGAAGCTATATTTAGTTGCTCTCGCTTGATCATTCGTTAGACAGCAATGGCCTCCCCAGGAAACAGAACAATGGATCGCTCCCCACAAATGATTTCTCAGGAGTGTCAAAGTATGTGAATACCACTACAGGGTGCGTTGGAGCGCAGTAGCCTTAGGTAACATGCCTCAGCAAATATCCACTTCAGAACATGATGAGGCTCACAAGACGGTTCACAAGATCCATCAGCGTTTTTGTTAACCTTGTCTTTCCAGAAAGCGCAATGTCACAGAACAAATTCCAGGGGTTCCCTAAGTGAACTCGAAGAACCACAGTCTGCTTCCACACAGGTTTCCATAGTATCAGGACCTACCGTTACCAGATCTCACTGTTGGAGGAGCATATCAAAACCAAACGTGATCTGAGTTTTCAGTTCGACAATTTAGATTGGTGGGGGGGGGGTGAGATGGCTCAAGTGGTTAGAGCGCGAATTTACTGAACTGAAGGTCCGTGGTTCGAACTCCACCTCCGCCTCTCGACTTCCCCTGTCTAGATTTGGGCAACCTGGCAGTATCTCAGCCCTCGTGCTCCCTTTGGGTGGCATGGCAGCTAGGCACCGAAGGAGTGCTAAAGCTGAACAATTAATTATTAATTAATTAAATTTACTGACCAATTTGCTCATTTTCGTTCTTCGAATTGTGATAAATCGGCTCCCTGAAGAGGAGTTCGTGCGTGTTTTGCTCAAGTGAAAAATCAAACTAGAGTCGAATGTTCCGGTCACAGGAATCACTCGTCTGCACAGGACTTGTTATCAGGTTGCTGTTTTCGGATGGCAAACATCTGTTAGCGATCGGATACCAGCTGCATATAGCGCGTTCGTTTTGAAAGGGTTCATCCACCTAACGGAACAGGGCTTAATGAACGAGAATACTGCTATGTACTGAGTACTGTGGCACCTGAAAGACGATTAGGTTTCCAAAGCAAAAATTGTTAAGTAATTGTCACCGATGACTGCAGATTAGCTTAGCGAGAGCTAGGGACGATCCAGGGGGAGTTTTGGACCACTTGTCGTACAATGAGTGCGAAATCGCGAATAGTGCAAAGTAGGTCCAGCGAAGTAAAAAATAATTCAAAATGATGCACACTTACTGGGAGAAATTGTAGGTTTTCCTTGTTTTCAGAAACGATATCAACCACCTGGTCGAAAGCTGATATGGATTTGGCAAAGCTGTCTGTTACTGATGGTTTCGGATCATTCATGGAATCCACACTCTCCCAGACATCTTCGTCACCTGACTGTGCGAAACTAGTACAGGTCGACGGAACTGGGTTATCCGCGGGAAAAATTTTCGCACCCAGTGCACTGTCATGGGCACTAACTGGAAATACGGATGGAGCCGTTTCTGTTTCCTCAAGTATGTGTGCGGATGCACGGGCGATAGGACTGGCATTCGTTCCAACGTCTGTTTGAGTTGGTGTTCTTGTTGACGCCGAGAGACCAGAAACACCACCAAGACGATCATAGAGAGACCGAGCAACCTGAGAAACCATTCCCGAAATGCCGCCGAAAGATAGACGACTGGATACGTTTAGCTTCGGCGTCGTACTACAGCTGGGATCCACCGGAGCAGACTCGGTGAGGTGCGACCTATGCAGTTTCGTAGTGTCATGAGGAACGTGCATGGAAGATGGTGTATTTGACTGGGACGATGACTGTGGAGCTAAAGACTGAGCAAAGGTCTGACTTAACTTGCGTATCACCTCGAATCTACTCGAAGGGGTATTCGCCGATTTTGTATCTAAGGTACGATAAAAACAAAGGTCGTTACAGGAATGTGACGAGAGGACTGATACAATGATACGCCGAAACAGATCAAAGTTCGACTCTAGTAAGTCAAGTAGTTCAATTCATGTCATCCGGCATAATCAATATATAATTTGCATAAGCACCTAGCGAAGGACAACAAACCGTACGTGGTGTGCGTCCAGCGTTGTCATGTGGGGTAGCGGTGTGTGGAGATGCTGAATTAGTCATCGTGTGTAGTGCATCATCACTGGGTTGATCAGCGCGCCGTACTGATGGGTCATGAACATTAACACGTCCTAGCAGCACAGCCAGTGCGTCCATGTCAGCCGCATCAGATGGTGTCGGAACCGAGTTAGGCGAGATGGAAGGTTCGGTGTTTTCATCGATATTTGTCAGGCATTCAGTGCCATGACGGAGAAGATGGCCTTTCACTGATGACGCCGATGATTCGACTACCTCCCTAGCTGGAGGAGATACGTGCCACTCAGGTGAGCGATCGGAACCGCCTAGAGCCTGGTCCAATATGCTGTGATGCATCCAAGGTGAAAAAGTAATTGAAGCAGTCACTCCTGAGGCAAGAGGAGGAACTTGGGAGCTAGGTGAAGGAGTGTCGGATAATATTTCCACGTTGTCCACGTTAGTCGGTTGAAGGGACGGCTGTTCGTCTGGCGTCGGAGAAATTCGATCATCCATCGTCATCGTAATCCATGTATTGAGGCTGCGGAGAAAATGACTGTTGTGGATCACTGGGTACGATTCATTGGAAAGGATCGAGCGAATTCGTTCAAACAGAACGTAGAAGCGGGTTAACGGACGATTAGAAGTTGTCGTAATTAGGTAAAACTACTCTCTAGCGCACGCTTATTGAGCGCTGAAGTGCTTGTACGCACAATTTAACTAGAACATTTATGTTGAAATAAGGCTCGCATGTGGAAGAGCGTGGACGTTAGAACTTATTCATTCCATAGATTCACAATGCAGAAAATGCCCCACTACAGTATGGAAACTCGCATGATTTCCAGTTACAGAGGGTGTGGGTTAAATGGCTCCTAATAAGGGCACAAATGCATTAAGAGAGAAAGTGAGAGCAGGAAAGTCACGGGTTCAAACCTTCTTAGGATTTTATGAGATGCATGCTGATGATGATTCCAAGTAAGGATGTAACAATTGTGCTCGGTTTTTCCCCACAGGTTGACTTTACTTAAAGGTTAAAACGACAAGTAAAATCTGGGTAAAAACCAACAACATAAACACCACTGACACCGGTTAACCACCACGTCTTCCAGTCTTGCCAAAGGCAGAAGGGGTCATATGGGTATCAGCTTGGAAGGCAGATCTTATCAACAGAACCAAGATAATCACTAGTGCTGACGGAAAAGCCTACGGCCTCTAGCCAGTCTTGCTGCGTTATGGGTCACGCGTGCGTGTTGCGAGGATATATCATATCTTTTCACCAAAGTACCGTAACCAATATTAATTGGCATTAAAGTGAAGAAACTGCTGACTGATATTTGAAGGAGGAAGACGGTGGACTGCTTGACAACACAAACATCAAAGATGGTGTGGAAGCTAATTCTTAAACAAGCACCGTTCGGTTGTCTTCACGCAAACTGTCTTCTGTCACAAGTAAGGACACAGAAAACTCCAAACACATGGGTATCACCGTTCCATACTAAACAATTTACTCTATTCTTTGGTCACATAAGGGCTCATGTAGATTCTCCTCCTCCCATAGCATTCGTCGTTATTTTTCGTTGCTCCCATTATGTCGCTTCAACTGGATTCATTTTGCACGTGATTCAGTACACCATGTTGACAAGAAGGCCATGCCGCAGCATATTATTGACAGTTTGCTTAGACTCCATCTGAATTCATCATACCGCTCCTGTGCAGCGTCGGATAACGTTGATAACCGATCGCTGACAAGTGGATGACTCGGTTGGGTCAGGGAAATGGGAAACGGCCGAAAAGACCCTCCAAATGCTTTGACTGCACGGTCGTAATGTTGAAAGCAACAAGCTCATCAAATGAAATTTAGCGTGTAAAAAGACTTGAGTTCTTCATTTACGGTGGTTCTTTCAGGGCAGATCCCTACTAACAGGGGCCAGTCCTTCAGACAGGCCACAGCAGGGTTCCCTGTCGTTCGCATCTTGATGTGAAGTCCCCATTGCTGGGAGAGGGGTGGCACAGTTTTCCAGAAGAACCAAAGGCAAGTTGTTGTGGAAACGCGTGCCAAAGCGTATATTTATATGGGCAACAGGCGCCTACGATTGCCTGGATGTGGAATATCCAAAAACCATATGCCATCACTCTGGAAGCAGCAAGGTTCAAGTCCTCATAAACCAAAGACCGATTGAGTGAATTCGCTCAACATTAGCTTAAGTTTAACCTTCATCGACACTAGACTTCTCACGCACATATCCAACACAGCCCTCAGTCTTCGTCACAGCCGATACCTGTTAGTTCGTCACTCATTGCAAGACTATGAAAACTACGATGTTTGAAAGCAGTATAACTATCCAAGACGCTGTGTTCGTCACAGCCGATACCTGTTAGTTCGTCACTCATTGCAAGACTATGAAAACTACGATGTTTGAAAGCAGTATAACTATCCACAGACGCTGTGTAATAGTACGGTAATCGGTTCAATCCTCAGGTATTCTGAAGGCTTCTGCCTTAATCACGTCCTTCATTGGTTTTCCATTGAGGTAACACATGAGTTATCCACTCACCACAATCAATAATGCACTTTATTCGTCGAAACGGTGGAAGCTGTTGCAGCATCGTTAAGTTCACCCGCACCCTTAGAGATTAGTCCTTTGTGAAGGCTATTACGAAAGACTCGATTTCACATTCGACGAGCATCGCCGCTTTCTCCCTAACAGTAACTACCATAATCTTCCTCCTACCAATAATAGGATACAAATTGAACCAATGAGGACAGGGGGAAGATGCTGCTGTTTGGAGACCAAGCATACGTGAGAGCGGAATGTTGCAGCACACAGTACTTCTGCACTGAATCGAAATTCACCAACAATCGATCAAAAAACGGACAGCGGCGGTATCTGAGAAGCCTCTATACTGGAGGAAATGAGACTCGTCCTGGGCCATCATACGTTGACTTCTGAGGTGCTTAACAGTGTACTGCAGTTACGATTGGCTGAAGGATGTTCCAATTAACCGGATTAATGGTTCTTTGTGTAGGGGACGGTATGATCAGCCTTTGATATTTCCAAGGGGAGCTAATTCCAGAGAAGGTTAGAGTGAATTGGCCGGTTCACTCCTCCTCCCAGTCCAAACTGACAAAGGCGTTTCAGATAAGGATTGCAAGCAGTTGTTTGTGAAAGATCTCGATGCTCATGCTACCTGCATCACAATGAACGCTTTAAAAACTAGGACTTAGGTCTACCAAAAGGATGAGGAACAGTTGTTCGCTAAGACTTACGGAACAACTCCATTCGACAGCTCACAGTCACACACGTGTTCAGGAACTGTTGAAAAGAAAACGAAAACGAAAATCTCAGCTGGTAATGTCTTCGAATGAGTGAAAACAAGGGCATGTACCTCAGAACAAACGTGACCGCTCAGCCACTGAACATCCAAACAAAATATCAATTTGGTCACCTGCTAGAGGTCCACGGACAATCTCTTGCTCTATAATTAGCAAGCTCGACCAAAAGTTCAGCACACTATCTAGTCTGAGAGCATACTTTAACTCGCCTATTTCAGACATCATGAAAAACATCTATTTCGAACAACGAGCTTCGGTATAACAACGCATTAGTCAGAAACGGGAGTTATTTGCCATCTTTGCAGAGACAGAGAAGCCTTCGATATCCGTGAGAGGGAGCGTGAGATGACAATCTCTAAATGTGTCATTGGTCTACAAAGTATTGGAGAATAAAATCGCACTTCACATCAGTGGCCATGGGCCGATGAGTTATTCGGACAAATGCTAGGGGAAATGTGGAGATTCCACCGCTAGGGGAACTTATATTTCTCAACCCAACCCCACAAAGCTGAGTGGGACAAAGTAAAAAGTTGAAAAGCACCGTGACAAATTTTTAATCGCAAGCCGGTCTAAGGCCTCAACACAGGGGCCGGGTAAAACATGGTGAAACCATATAGTAAACTCTCATACACCGGCCACTTTGACATGGCAACCACTTTCAGCGGGCCCCGTCAAGCCACTCTTGAGACTAACATAGAGCGGGCTCCAGCTGTTCTGGAACCGAAGTAATGGCAACTGAATCCATATATATATATATATATATAATCACTTACACTGTCTCTCCTCTTTCATAAAGAGGGGATATTTTGTTGACACACATCCGAGTTTGTGGAATTTAGACAACCGTACAAAAAGTTCCTTCCGCTAGATAGGCCGTTTTCGACCGGTTCTGTCAGCGGTCACAGTGTACCAACGCAATAAGTATATCTCCCAGAGGTGCATACAAACATGGACAAATCGAATTCCAGTTTGTGAGGTGTCAGACATGCCGGTACATAAAACACTAACTGCCAAAGACTGCTAGTAGAAATCTTAAAAGTACCTTATTCATAACACTAAGTTTTCGCCAACATCATCCGTTCCCCGAGAAAGACTGGTAAAGTAAAATAATGTTGTCTAAAAAATTAATGTCCCATGAATTCTTCGTCGATGTCCTCGATAGAGAACAGCCTTCCTCTTTTAGCCAGTAGGCGGGCTTCGTTAATAATCAACCCAGTTTTTGGTCTCAGGTTATACCTTTTTAAGCGATTAAAAGATTTGTCGGAGGTTCAAATCGATGTTTTCATTTCTCGAAACACAGACCTGCAGTGGATTGTTCGTAGGTAGAATGATGTCTTATCCAGAAGTGCTGATAGATGTAGTAGTCCTTCAGACTATAAGTTTTTTTCAAGGTTAACCCATCTGCCTCCGAGCTAGCTTTGTGCTAAGAATCAATAGTTTTGGGCGTAAAAGTCCTCGTTTTGTGGATTACGCAATGATTTGAATATCAAGTGGATAAGGGTTGTAGTTCAGGAGTTTTTATGCTGACAAGCCATTGTCCAAGGATAATGAGTTGACAATGGATAAAATGGGTCACGAGTGAAACTCAAAGTGACGCAGTGTGAAAAGTTGAGGAGCTCATAACACACACTGAGGCCACTCGAACATTTAAAATAACTGATTCTACGTATAACGAGAAACATCCCAGATGAACAACAAGAACCTTCTACCAGAAAAACACGTTTTCGAAGAAAATCAGGCGCCTCTATGAAGAAAACCAACCTTTGGATCTTTCTAACAGGGGGTCGAAATTGAGCAGCAAAGAATCTTCCATATGGATGGCGGCAGAAGGTGCCTGGAGAATGAACAGTATAGTGCAAAAAATAGAGCAACTGCTTACGGTGCGGATCAAAACAGAATGTAATTTCTAGGACTATCTTCCACGTTATTCCCAAGACCACAAGAAGAACACAATTCCCTATCTGTTAGTGGCTACTTACCATGGTAGACTACCATACCGTAACAGGTTAAGGTAACTCCTAACGTATCTTAGCATCATTTCTAAGATGTCTGGAGTGGAAACAAAAGGAAAAGTGATACGATTCTTTAAATAATTCGGGATCAAATTAAAGATGATCCTGAGGGTTTATAACCTCCATGCATACACAACCTCACGTGTTCGTTGCATATTTTCGGGTCTCAATCTGTCCAAACGGTTGGCAGTTGTACATCCAATGGATGAAAGCGATAATCACACATACGGCTACTACACTGGTCTGTTTGCCTATCTGTAGGCGACGCCCGCTCCTTGATTGATGAAACCAGATAAGGGGTACAGACTTGGTAGGCCATCGAAAGCCGTCTAGATGGTCTAGATGTGTCTCGGGTGGCGACACGGACAGTGAGTCAGGGAGTGGGACAGCATTAGTAGTGCTGGTCGGTCACCTAGTTTACCGTGGAAGTCCACCCAGCGATAAATGAAGGGCGGACACAGCAGTCGCACACAGTCCCCCACTCAACTAGCTAATAGACGAACTACCTTTGATCGATTTAAATTCGTTCATTTTGCATGTGCTACTTGTTCTGTCCCAACAGCAGCATGAGCGTAATACAAAGGATTTCAAACAAACCCAACTCCCCAACAGTGGGTTGTTCGACAGTCCAGTGGCGCAAAATACCATCTGAAGCATCCTGGTTCTCAGCTTCCGAACAGTCCGATTGGACAGATGACAAACAAAATGCCAAGAAATACAATCAGTAGACACTAGTTGACGTATATATGGCAGCGAATCCAATCGCTAAACTGGTAGGTCGGCCAACCGATGCCTTGCCGTGCGGAAACTTAATGTGGGAACTCCAGACTGTGTTGAAAAGTGCAGGAAATGCTCGAGAGGCTGGAAGGGAGGGCGAGAAATCTTAGCTGTAATACAAACCTGTGTCAGACGTATCTGTAGAGCACAACTCGCACAAGATACAGTCGCACTGTATAGCGATCCTCCCTATATTGCGGGTTAAAAAAACCCTTTCCTATTACACCTTTGAAAAAGTTAGAGCACATACTAATTGTTGGTATGCAAGCACGACAAGCCGCGAAACATATTAAACTTACATGCGGTGCATCCTCCAAACGGTCCAAGATAGCATCAAGTGAACCTGAGTGAGAGGAGGAGGGTAAAGGAACTACACTGAAGACACTGTAACGGATATAATGGTCCTTCGAAATTTTTATAACACTGACTTGTGTTAATAATGAATATAAATGGGCTAGAGAAATTGGCTCCACTCCTTGTCCATTGTTCTGTCAAGAGCACCAATAACAAATAGAGAAAAATTATAGACAAAAAGAAATCAACTAACCATGGCCACAAACTCAACAAACAGTGCTCGTTTGCTTTGGGGGTATTGAGGGACCTCAGAAAGTTTCGCATGGGCAGCCTTTCACCAATGAGCCAAACAACTGGCCACAGTCTTTAACAAAACACATTTCAGAAAATGACATTCGAACAGGAGCACCCTAGACAACCAAGTCCAGCCAGTTTCTTTCCAAAACCAGCTGTCGTCAAGCGATGAGCGACCTCGACTACAGTCTAAACGCCCGACTTTGCCACAAGAGATCAAAACCAGTGAAACTGAGTCATGTGAACGTCAATGGTCGTTTGGATGACCGGAGCTGGGTAAGGGGTCAGTATTTCGCCAAATGAAGCAACGCTACATGGTCGCACGCACTTACCCCGCGTTTCGAGAGCTAATTGTATCATCCAATATGGGGTTTACGATAGCAAACTGATGAAATCACTCCTGTCTATATGGAACCATACTCACCCCATTAATCCGGTACAAGCCGAACGGGTCCTAAATAAACAGGACGCAAAGGTTTTTACTTGTCAAGCGGATTTCGTCTCCCAGATCAACTCATTATGCTCCTTATCAGTGGCGCGTTTTTATCTGATCTGCTGGTCGCCTGGGGTTTTGACAGGACACTTACAGATGGAACTTAGAGTCTTCGCACTCTTTTGCGCCCAAATTGATGAAAACCGTACTGAAGGTGGATTTCCACTGAGAGATTAGTTTGCTCCTTGCAGCTTACTGAAATCGTATCCTCCAAGGATGTTAGGAGAAGGTCTGTGGCGAAGAAAACTACCATAATTATTCGACTTCCTCTCATCACACGCAACAAGGGAAAAAAAGAACAACCGGCATCATGAATAGTAGGAAAATTGACAGTGACGAAGTGAGTAAATCAGACCGGGTTATTGCATGCAAGACAAGTGTTTTCTGAGCACAAACTTATCGGTCGTGGTTGGTCAGCATCACCAGAAAACACAGGTCGGGCATTGGGAAATGATTTTTTGTACCATTTTCTATTCAGCGATGTATTACTTCACTCGCACGAGTTATTGTCTAACCAGGGGTTCTACTTATCAGATGATATGACGTCGTTAGAAATAGAAACTAGATATCTACGGCGAATCTCTTCAGGGCTCACTGAGGGAATCGGTCAAACCTATAAGCGCATTATGGTAAGACTTCCCAGCAAAATTTATGGGATACTTCGACGGAATTCCAACGACAAACCGAGGATTTTTAATTGCCTTGATAAAAATTTAAAGATGACTCGATGTCAAACTAAAAGCTGTTGACAGGTGGGAGGTTGAACCTTCCTTGAGAAAACTCAATTTCATACCGAGATATCTTTGGACATCAAAATATTGTAAGGCTGTTATCAGAACATCAAGAGAAGCTTACGCGGAGAACGATTTCATCGCTCGCCCTCCAGAAAGTTTACTTTCAAGGATGTGTTTAGCTGTTGGGATAATAGTCGGTCAGAGATACGAGTTTGACCTTCGCTTCGATTGGCGGAAAGTGTGTCCCTTGCCCGGCGCCTGTGCAACACGAGCGTCCAGGTGAACGATGACACGGGCTAATTGTGCACATTTCAGGCACCCTGCTCGAGGTGGTGAAAAGTGCATTCCCTAGCCAGCCCCGGTGACCTATTCAGTCGCTGGCGTTCAGTATATCAGCCATTCGTACACTAATCGGTACGAAAGGGAAACACAATCGAGGCTAGGGTTTGTCAATTGAATGTTTATCGCATGGGACATGTCAGAGTTCATTTTGGCACACAACTAAGATCTAGGACTATTTTCCCTCATAGCAACACTACACATGAGATCACTATTGGCTGACACGAGATCTGTCTTCCTGTGATAAACTCCCTAGAGAGAAGTTCAGCTTGTTGATATATGCATTTATTCACTTGACGGATCGATGAAAGATTACGAAATATTAACCCGAGCGGGATTTTTTAATGTTACCGAAATGCAACAGCCACGACAACCGATGAAACAAGATATCTCGAAAGATGACTGTACTAGCAATAAACAATTGTCAATAGAGGATTAAGTGTAAACAATTGCGTCTCGTCGGCCACCATGAAAGCCAGCTGGGTTAAACAAGTTAACAAGCCCACAAACTGGGTGAAGAACTATCACACTCCTGACAAATAACAGAGAGCAAAGAAAAGACCTGCCGCGAAACAGCAGCACAACTCACTGCGATTTGGAGGGGCGACGGTCACAACCCTTTCATCAATTTCTCTCACTAATTGGTGATCCTCGTAAGATCTGAGTGTGGGGAAAGGCGAAATATTTTGTGCACTGACGTGGCTGGACAGTACCGGTAGATTGTGACTACATTAAATTGCACTGAAGAAAGCTTTGTTTCGGAAGGCCATAAAAACAAACACAACGCATGTTCAGTCTCTAGCACAGTGCAGCTGGTTGCTTCGAAGGCACATACAGGCCTTCTAGGTCAAAATCCATAGACATTCAAGTTCCGATTGTGGACCAGGAGTGGTCTTTTACGCATGAGTCATTACTGTACTACTACCTAATGCATATCCAGGACATGCATGCCCAACGGGTGAACTAAGCCACCACCTTGAACGAACGTTGATGAAACGTGGTCGCGAGATGACAAACGATCCCCCAACAACTGGCGCTGATTAGTACCATCATTACCGATAACAAAAAACCACCAGTAAATGCAGGTGAACAATAATGAGGGTAGGATATTCCAGCTAAAAGGAAAAAGAATAGTGGGAATCGATGCAAAAAGCCTTGTCCTTAGACAACACAACCAAGCGCAAGGTACTTACAACTTTGAATAGCATGAAAATAAACGTTTGGGTGTCACGTCGAAGTACAACGTGGACAGTAGGATCAATCAAGCAAGTTCCACATCACGTAATGGAGACCCAGTGCATGGTAACGCATAGAATTCAGTTCAGAATCGACATCAGGTTCGCCACCAACGTCGGCTACGTGCCACGTACCGTGGGGATTCCAACGATAGGAAGCCTTAGCCAAAGAGGTGTAGTATCCAGGCAGACTGCAGGCTTCTTCATTTTGCGTTGCTAAGCCAAGGTCTATGCCTCACGAGGGTTCACAAAAGAAAACAGCGCTTTTTTGGGTAGCTGGACATGTACAGACCCAAACATCAAAACCCTACACTAGCGTTCTTGACAAAGACCTCTGGCTAAAAACTTGGTCTCAAGAGCATGCAATAATTGACGTGAGAATACCAGAATAACCCAACTTTTGAAGAATGAGTTATCGTACCTAGGGGACAGAAGACTATATCCATCAGATCCCCACCTGCCGACTAGCCTGGTGTAATAACTCTGCGAGCATCTCTGGGGACATCTTCCGGTAAAGCTGTCTGTCAAACTGTCGTATCATGAGAAAGCTGTCTCTGCGACAGACTGATCTTGGGAACAATGTATACACAAGAACTCTGTAGATGGTGTTCCTGAAAAATGCTATTATGTAACAACGCAATAGTTTATATACAGCTCAAAGCTTACCGGGCTTGATGAATGTGATTCCTGTCAGAGTCATTAAGGGTAGCCAGTTCTGACGTTGGAGTAGACTGTTCAAGTGAAGCTCGAGAAACACAGCGAGAACAGTGACGTCCAGCGGTTTCTGATGGACAGACAACGGACGATCCAGATACTGAAGTGTTAGGATTGTGATTATTGTGGAGGGAAGACATATTGGAGTGGCTATAACAGAAAGGACAAGATGACAAGATAGAACATAACTGCATAAAACAGGAAGAGCTTGGAATCCAAATATTGGAGAACGCATGACATTTTAGCCAATATGTACACTGGTGTGTTGCATGTGGACACAGCAAACTGGGGTTTTGAACGATGATTGAAGAATCTCCGTCACAATATTCTCGCCCCTTAAAGTTGTAGCTCACGGAATGCAACGTAGCGAGCACACGTTAGGGTCCAATGCCAGTCAAATTCCAGAAGAGTAAAACAAATAAGTACAACTTCCTATCCAAAGTTGCACCTCTATATCGATAACAAATTTCTCAATTCAATGGCTCTTTAATCCACCACAGGACTACACAGTGGAATCGGATGTGACATTAGTGGTTCAAACAGATGTGAGCAGAAAAAGATGGACTGCCACATGCACGTGGGTCGAAGCACCCTTTTGACTTTTTCATGGGTTCAATGAATGGTGCAGTGAAAGACGGTTCACGGAACTAACCAACAGGTATTTTTTTGAGGTTAAACTAATTAATTGATCTCCATCCTGTTCCTTTCTATTCTATTGACTCGTCGATGTAGAATGCTACATTGTGCAGTAGACTATGTGTGTTCGCAAATTAGTTTACACCATATAATCAAAGCGAGGTCTACTCTGAATGCCGCTGGGAGTTTCTGTGGTCCTATGGCCATATGGCATCTCTGGGCTGAAAGCAACTGAGAATTCACAGGATGGGTCGAATGAAGGATAGGCGTACGGTTGGGATGCTGCTTCTTGCTCTGTATGGAGTTTCCAACATTATCTTCCGTGGCTTCACCAACAGCTAACCTCAGTGTATGGGATGAAATGGCCGCTCTGTTGCACTAGCTTCCTCAATTTCCAGTCTCCTGCATCCAACCGGATTCCCCTATGTTCACATGTGAGCTGACATCCAACAGACCTTCCGGCAGGACTGAACTTAGCATCCGAATGGATACGACTTGCACCGGGAAGCGGCAGTGATTGTTATGAAATACAACGCTTATTTGACAGGTACTCAGAAACCCCATCTGCCGCATTTCCTGCATGTGAATGGCGGCGTGAATTTCGTTCCAATTACAACTGAGGTCTTCCCAAAAGCCTATAAGAAACCCGCTTCACTCCAAGAAAACTCAGTGTATTGGTGCGAAACCAGGGATTTTTATCAGATTACAAGCGCCATTATACATCATCCATTGCTTGCTTCATTGGATATTCAAATGTACTATCGCGTTAGTGGCTCTGCGATAATTGAGGTTGATTGATATTTGTTTAAGTCGTCTATCGTTTTAAACTGCAGTATTGATTAAAGCACGTGATTGTTCCGAGTGAGTAATCTAAGCCAGAGTTCGTCTGCTGGTTGATTGGCTGGAGGGCGACCCCCCAAATCGGTATCGCTGTTGGCCGATAATGCAGCCAGCCTTACAGAGGTTCGTGCTGCCTGTTGCACATCATTCTGCTTATGAAGTGCTATACTTAGGAAAACTGCAATTTGTTCTCAGTTCGCAGTCACACCATAGTCCTTCCTGAGATGGGCTGCTTTGCTTTCGGAGTGGCCTTCTTTCGCGTGGACATGCAGTGACTTGAGCACGATCCAAAAGTCGCAATAAAAACTCGCCGCTGTAGGCAGTAGGGTCGTAATGCGGTGGAACATTTCTTTGTAGGGCTGCATCCAACCGCCGCAGTCAGCACGCTACGTTGTCCCAATTTCATCAGATCGGGCTCCTTTCCCTAATTTTAAATGACTTTTATATATACCCCACTATTTCCACTGCTGACTGCCTTACTGCCTAGCTCCAGTATGGTGCTCAGTGGTCAAGGCGCGAATTTATTGAACGGAAGGTCACTCGTTCGAAACCAACCCCAGCACGTCGACTGCTCCCGTCTAAGCTTGGGCAACCTGACAGTACCTCAGCTCTCGCAATCCCTTCGGGTGGCAGGGCAGCTAGACACCGAAAATATGCTGAAGCTGAAAGACGTCAGTACTCGAAGGCTCACTTCTAGCCGTACTGTTGGAACTCTTCGCTGGTAAACAGTGGTCTGTTAAACGTGAATAATTCAAGTATGACGTCTTAAACTAGGAACGCGTGCGAGCGACCGCAAGTGACGTAAGGAATATTGAATTTCTCAAAGTAACCAGTGACCAACCACCACCATAAACAATTGCTGATTGGGATGACCACTTGTAAAGGAGAGTATTAGATCTTCAGCTTGGTGCTACATAGGCTATAGTTCGTTTGCCATTGACGGTCAGTTAATCATTGTTCTCACCCACGGCATTCTGCTATTGATACGAGCGGGTGACACGCAAGGCCTTTAGTATGCACTTCCTCGACTTTTTCAGGATCACCAAGCGATCTGCCTTCTGTCGCGCTTTTCAGATCACAAACCATGCAACGAAGTGCAGTGGCTCCACCCGCTCCAGGTTCGTGCACTGAAGGAGAATAAGAGAACCGTTTTCAAGTGTCTCTGCGTATGATGCAACCAGCTACATAGGTGCAGGTATAGCTCTCAGCTACCAGACTGAGACTTCCTTACACAAGTGCATCAATGTGAAAAACACCCATTCGTTTGTTGACTTCCATTAGAATCCACACCAGTCGAAAATATAGCCATCCCATTTTTGCTTCTGCACACGCGCCAACCAGCTGTAGCCTGATTCAGCGAACGCTACTAGTTATCGGGATCTATCCCCTCTCCTGGGGGCGAGATGGCTCAAGTGATTAAAGCGCGAATTTACTGACCGGAGGGTCCGTGGTTCGAACCCGATCTCTGCCTCTCAACTCCCCCTGTCTAGGCTTCGGCAAAGTGGCAGCATCCAAGCCCTCATGCTTCCTTCGGATGGCACGGCAGCTAGGCACCGAAAGGGTATGGCTGAACGATTATCCCCTCTCCTACTCAGAACGGGGAATTAAGATACCCTGATCTCAATTTATCACGGGCGTGACTTGGTGGTCTGCCCGCACAAGCCTCAAGAGATAATTGTAGTAAAAAGCCTTTTGCAGCTTTGTACCGACCACTAATTATTCCGCAATAGTACTGAATTCAGAATCAGCATACACCGTCGCACTACCTACCACCTCTATACTGATGGACAACTGAGGCCGGATCCGGACCACTCAGGTTGATCCAGTGCGTGCACGGTGCAGTTTTCTGATACGTTTCCATTGGAAGATCTAAGCAATAAACTGCCTGTATTTTGTCGCTGAAAAACCCACAAGCAATTCTTATCAAACTAGCCTATACGAAGCTTTAAAAGCCGCATCCTCGGGATATACCGGCCACTTTTCAAAAGAAAGGGAACTAGGGTGGAGTGCTTCAAAGGGTGAATCAGATAAGGAACTTCAGAATAGTCGCCGTCGATCCTCGATACTACAGACGTGATACCTTCTAAACCATCGAGCATAACTCACTCAGAAGAGCTGTAAAAGTCAGCTTGAGAAACCTGGTGGAACCAATGGGTCTTGAAGCTGGGAGAAGCTAATTCAACTGTGAATGTCGAAATTTTTTACCTGGTACAAAAAACCGGGCTGAAAAATCTGATGGAAGTGAGCTCATCAAGAATATTATTTGGAATTTAGTACATCAGAACCGCTGGACTGGATGATTTGAACAATTAAGTTGATCGTACGCCCCTGCACCCAGGTCTTTATTCGGCTTGTTCAACTTGGGCAGTGTCCTGTGATTAAGACCCTTAGGCGCTATCGGGCCGCAAGTCCAGATGAGCTGGGCTGGTGTCATCCAAAGACGGTGGTTAATCTTAGTTTCACCTCGACCAGGACGTCTGAACTAAGCGAGGAACGAAGTCCATTCCAGGTCGCTAGTTCATTCTACTTTTGTTCGAAAAGGTACCCACAGCGACTGCTCTCACCGTAGGGTACAAGTTTCACTCCAGATGTAATATTGCTACTAAATTCAACGATTCTAAGACGCTTGACCTCATCATGAAAAACTGATAGCCGACAGCACCAGATTGGACTCTGACCAGGAAGTTGCGAGTGCTGTAGCATCTTCCCATTACGTCAATCACCCGGACAGCACCACACATACCGTCGGTATTCTTTGAATTCAAGGGACCCTTCGACTATATGGATGGGCGGGCTCCCCTACGAGGAATACTCTCACGTTTGTGAATATCCTCTGTGCCACTAAGGCCTATACTTTGGGCGCGTTACAGTGACCTGTCCACAGGTTTTTCCACATCCGTCTGCTAGTGGTAAACTGTTTAGCCATGTGGTTGACGCCCTCAAAGTGCAAAAACTGCCCACTTCCATATATTCTAAATGAAATTGGTTGTGCCGGTAAGTTATCTTGGTGGCAGATGGAGTCAGTGCAAGTATGACCAAGGCAGGAGCGATAGTCACCAATTTGTCATCTTTGCCACACGAAATATCGCTACATTTAAAGGGTCGTGTTTACAAAACTCCAACTCTATGACTCCTGAAACTCCCTCTCCGATCTAAATACTTTAAACGTCACCTGCTATTTGATCACCGCTGTCTCCGTAGTATTACAGGCGTCAACTGGCCGCACTACGTATATAACGTAATGGTCTGTAGGCCCGTAAGAGGCAGTGAATCGGTTTCGCATAAGCGGCAGATAATCAGTTTTAAGTGGGTTCGGCCAACGTCCACCGAAAAGATTCTCGAACCCAAACTCATGCTGGCGAGAGGATCGCTAACATACCACGACATGACAACGCGGAACGAAAGCAACTACCGTCAGGTTGGGCGCCATAGTCGTCAATCCCCTTTGATGCACAGCTGCGTCACCCGAAGGAAGTACGTGGGCTGAGATACTGTCGGGTTGCCCAATCCTACGCAGGAGTAGTCAAGATCCGAGGGTGAATTCGGAATACGGACCTCAGTCAACAACTTCGCGCCGTAAACAGTGAGTCATCTATCCTCACTTATCTACACTGCTACTGCTCAGCTTCTCCTAAGGTTTACAAATTGGAACATCGTAGCGAGGTTCCTAGATACTTTAACATACAACTCTATTGATAGACGTGGTGCAACCTGCCCGCTCCACCAACCGCTCGAAAACAACTGAACCACTGATACTTCGGGTTAGAGAATGCACACAGAAGCGATTAGTCTCAACCCCTGGGGAAACACTTTGTCTCCGATGCCTTTTAGTACGTCACCGATCGCGACGCGGATATCGCCACTATACATGAACTTTTTTACAGTAAACTGAAGACCTAAGCCCGTCATCTTCTGTGTACTTGCATACAAGAAACCTGACAGACGTTGAACCAATTTCTAAAACTATAAGCCACAACGTGGCTTCAAAGCCGGTAGGGCCTGTGTGCCTAGATGAACCCGCACAGGAAGTATGGAGCAGATGTCCACAAGCCAACAATAGCAGAAGCTACAAGAACAAGCTAAATCAGGGCTTGATAATGCTTTCATCAGCTGAAACTAAATCCCAATCATACAAGAACCAATGTACACCCCCCACAGGATTGGTTTCGAGAACTCGGATATCACTAGGCAACGCGTAGTTTCAACTTCAGTCAAATGCATCACTGGAAGTTCCCTGCTAGAGAAGCAGTGTGTAAACACTGACAAGATCACTACGAGTATCTAGATCGGCTGCGGTTGACAAACGCCATGCTCCGCCCAAGAAATTCTCCACTGTTCCCTGCAAGAATTCGCGCCCCGATGTGATCGAAGTCGTTGTTAAAGTTACTGCCGAGAACAAGTCATTCAATGTCCCCGTCGACACAGGAAGTTCCGGTGGCTATATTCCGGACACGGATGTCCGTAAGAACCCATGGCTCATCTATCCTTTTAACGTTGATATCACGGAAGCCTCACTACCACCAGACCATTGTTAGAACCGCCAAATTCCAACGACGTTCGACAATCTTCCACACCCGTATCAGCCAATGGCCACCAAGTCTAGACGTCTAGCCATACCTTACCGGATATTCGTTGGCAGACCAAACTACGTTTCCGGGAGCGGATCAGTGAACCTCACTATTCGCTCCGGTGTTAATAACTGCTAACAATTACTACAAAAAGCTAATGACAGTAGACTGCCATTGTCAAAACTCCCGCACTATAGGGACGCTGAAGCAAGACAGGCAGCCGTCGGGATGTTGGCATATTACTCTTACAAGTTTCCACTCGCATATAATACAAATTTCCATCTCGCTGACCCAGTACTAGACCCCCTTGACAAGCTTAGGCTAAGCATGCATTGCTAATCCCTGTAAACTATCAGTCATCGATAGTTCTGGAGAAGAACACATCAGACATTGCTGTAGCAGTTATCTTGAACCAAGACAGCGGTGCGGTGGCCCCTCAGGCCTGAGAGCTGACACGTTGCTCAGCCGCACGCGGCCAACGCACCCGCAGACGCAACAACCTCCGTAAAGCTCACCAGCCTCACGCACCAAACCATTAGCATCAGCCAGTTCACGTAGGCACACCGGGGATGATGCCTACCAGTTTGGATTTATAAGTATTGGTGATATACTATCTCGCTCACTGAGCTTTCTGCTTTCCATCTATAGGAATTGTTGTGAAACCCTACCTTTGACGAATCACTGTCCCCTGGTGTTTCCACAGCGCACATACTACAGCAACTACGGTAACCATTTCGTGTCTGATAGGAACCAGAGGCAAGAAAAAAGTCGAAATTCTATGGTACCACTTGGAAATGTTTTGTTTCCGGCACACAATCTACAGAAATGGAGATAACAAAGCTACCGATACCCTATCACGAAGCTGGAGGCGAGGTGACTCGTGGTAAGGGCGCGAATTTACTGGCCAGAAGATCCGAACCCGACATCTGTCTTTAGAGTTCCCCTATCTAGGCTTGGGCAACTTGGCAGTGTCCCGACCCTCATGCTTCCTTCGGGTAGCACGAAAACTGGGCACCGGAAGGGTGTTACAGCTGAACGGCTTATTCTTTATCACGAAGCACTAGACATCTTTTAATTACATCACCCTTGGACTACTCCACGAACTTGTTACCACGGAATAACCCTTATGCATTGTCCGCTCAGAATCAGTTCTCCCACCAAACACGAAGAATCGATGCAGTCTCGACTCACGATTGCCCCAGACTGGTGTTGCACCGGTGTGGGGCGCGAGTCGTAAGAGCGCCAAGCCACCCGCCTGGTGTGGCTACTGCAATTACTGGCGTAACTCTCATTCCTTCCGTTAAGTCTTTCGAATAGCCTACTTAGATCTCTCGCAAGACAGACCGCAGTTGTAACAATCAGTCTGGTCTCCTGGAGCGATCATCCAACTTCCCATTCGACCTGGAACACATAAGACCAATTCTATAGGTCCGGTGGTGGTAACACTGAAAGAAAATAGGGTTTTTGAGATTGACATGAGTAGGATTAACCGACTCCAACCTAACGAGATGTGCTGGAAACAGGCCGCAAGTGGACAGGCTGTCGACCGCACACTGTGTTAAGACACGATCGCTACGGTCCAGCTTTCCTGTAATTTGACCACCATCTGCATGAAAGAAAATCAGATCAGAGGCACTTCAGCGTTCATGGGAATTCGTCAGGCAACATACACGAAGTATGACGGAGAAACACAATAACACGAATCCCGTAAATTAGGGACAAACAAACGATGATTGTGCGCAACCAGCGACAGCACACACTGCGGCTTTTTCGTACTCTACACTAAATGGAGAGTGGGGAAGTAGATTATATTGGCTACGAAACATTACCCTAGAACCGAAGGTGAACCCAATGAGCCGCACACCATCGATAACAAGCCAGCCCAGCCCGAATATCGGCCAGTGAGGGGAAAAAGGAAGTAACGCCGCGAAATTTATTTTCCAATCGTATCCACAATTAAAAAAACGAAAAACTACAGGAAACAATGCATGTATGTTGGATAGCGTGGTGTAAGGTGTACAAGACTATGACCAACTAACAGTGCTCATTCGCTCTGCGTCCGAACGATCAAGATAGCACAAATGGATTGGCAAATGCATAGTTCATCGGATCCTTTCATCGTCTTCCGGAATCTTTGCTCGAACTCCTCATTTTCTTGTCCGGATTATCCTCACTGCGCTCATCCAAGTCCGCAGAGATAACTCGCTTTTCCTTCTACAAATTAAAGGAATGGAATAACAATTCAGTTGTCGGAAAACATATGGCCGTCATGAACAGGAACCCAGCAGCAAGCAACTGTTAATCCGAACAAACTCAGTGTTCCACAAAACTCGGGTAAGCTGATCAGTCGGTTTCGAATGCAGCAGTCATCGTGGACACAAACTATGGCCAAGAGATGGACATAGTTAAGCTGCCAGAACAATTACAGCTCGCTCCCGAACTGCGAGTAGCAAATACGTCCAGGTCACGTTTTAAAATTACTCGGATCCTACGGTTGGCAAACTAATTAGTATAAGAAATCAGCCTCGAACATCCCATGTAGATATGCCCTATGGTTTTAGTCTTCAGGTCCCTTGTCCACTGAATCTCCATCCAACACATTCTGTCCGTGAAAAAACAATGACCTGGGCAGTTGCACTGTCGAATTAATCATTCTTAATCCTACACGAGGAAAAACGCATCTCCATGAACCTCAAAATGTGTTCCAGTCGATTAGCCAACATCCCTAAATGTGGTACACTAAACGGAAGCGACTTGACAGAGAGAATTTTTTTTAACAGAGCGGACATGTAACCATTAACCAGTGGGTTGGTGACGTGAGTAATGCCCTGGGGGGTTCAGTTCACTGGAATGCTAACAAGTACTACACTTCAGCAATATGGTCCCAGGAGAACTCACAACCACTTTTAATCGCCAGAACACCTTGGACAAATTGTCTCTTACATTTGAAACTAAGTAAATCTCGTATATTCGTAATACACTACTCATAAGGTTACTGGAAACTCTTCGACAGCCCACGACCGGTTTCGTCCTTCAGTAAACTTGAAAATAAATAAAAATCATTCAGCTGTAGCCCTCTTTCGGTGCCTAGCTGCCATGCCACACGAAGGAAGCACGAGGGCTGGGATACTGCCTGGTTGCCCAAGCCCCGACAGGGGAAGTGGAGAGGCAGAGGTAGGATTCGAACCACGGACCTTCCGGTCAGTACAGTCGCGCTCTAACCACTTGGGCCATCCCACCCTTACGAGTAGTGTATCACGAATATAAACGTATTGTGATATCTCGAATATCGTAGCAAGTGAAAAATGAGGCGCCCTGAGCAGCACATTCGGTTGCCTAGACACATCATAAACAAGAGATTCAGCTAAGTCTCTCGCAAAATCGAATTTGTTTGCAAATGAAGCGTACTTCGCTGAGCAAATCTTACTTCTTCAGGAAGTGTGAACTAATCTAATACATAATAAACTAGTGTGCAAAACGATAGGATAACCGTGCGAACCAATGATGAAGCGGAAACGCACCGAGTCAGTTTCGGACATCGTTTTGGATTCACGAGATTTTTTCGATAAATTGGACAGATGTTCCTTGAACATTTCGTCTCGTTCAGAACGCTGCAGAACGTCACTAACCAACTCCCAGCGACTGTCTTTGCGGAGGACTTTCTTCGCTTCCTTCCAAGTCATCCCTGGATCGCGTACAAATTCGCTGAGTAATGTTCGGAAGTTTTCCTCCTGTTCAGCATGCAGTTGTTGCTCACGCTCCTTCTCTCGTTCCCGAAGCGAGGAGGAAAGGGCTTCTTTGACCTCTTTTTCTCGCTCTCTGATAGAAGCTTCCTGTCGCTCTTTCTTTTCTCTTTCCTTTCGGGAGTCGCTACTCTCACGGGATGGCGGATTCTGCAGGTATAAGATATTTAGGAAATAAGCAGCAGCAGAGATTAACAGATACTGTTGTATTCCGTGAAAAACACGCCAACGCCACAAATAAAGGATGCAGTACTATGTTAAGGTAACTCACCTCATCCAGTTTTCTCACGAAATCTCGGAACCAATCCTCACGACGGGATGAAGAATCGACTGCCTTGTATCGCGGATCTGCGTCTATTTTTCGTTTCACCTCACTCCAGTGAGAATGCCGTGACAAACCCTTCGTTTCCTTGAGCAGACTCAAGAAGTCAGACTTAACCTAAAAAGGGCAGAACATAGTGTTACCGAAACGAAATGCGACGACGAGGAACACCAGGCATGGGCTGACCTTTTTCGGTTGTTTCACCCAAGAGATGAGAAGTTCCTGGAAGGCCATGCCAACTCTAGGCACAGCCACATAGTGTGCATTCAAACGAGCTCACTAAAACCGACTGCGATGGCGTTACTAAGGAAGTACCGGTGTTCAGCACTGGTGTCGACTTCTGGGATGACCGACATCGGTGACCGTGTTTGGATGCAACTTACCGGACTAATAGAGACAGAAATGAGCATGAAGTGCTCCTACAGATAACGGAATACCTTGCTTTATACTAGTGATAGGTGTGAAGTATAGTCGAGGCTGGCCGATCCGAAAAGCATCCAGCTGAGCACAAGTAAGTCAGTTATGAAGCAGAAATACTTGATGGATAGAAACCTCCTGTCTCGCTTTTAAGAAAGACCTATATGATCACCGTCCAAACATAATAAACCAAGTCGTGTGAACGGAACTGAAAATGTACCAATCTGCAACGTGGATACACTGAACGGAGTGCTATATAGACCACCCTGTTTCCTGAATATTTCAGCTCCAAAAGCATAAAAATTCACGTTCTTCTGCTTCCACTTCCACCTGAGATTCGAATGTGAAAACACAAACTTCCCTAAAAAAACAAACTTGTCCATCACTAGTGAAAGTTGATATATAGCCTACGGAGAGAGGGTTGAGTTAACAGAGAACTGATTACAAATAAGCAGTTGTCTCGGCTACTGTTTCGAGAGGATACGGCTATAGAACTGAATCACGATGAAAAGATTGCTACGTGGAGTGCGAGTGTAAGTGCGACGAGTTTGCGCAGAGCAGAATAAATCAGTCGCTACATCCTTTGTCATACTTTGGATAAGAATGTGTTCACCTAGTCGTAATTTGAGATAGCGCGTCATTTGGAGTCATGCATGGAGTAAGCTAATATTCAGGAGCGACGAAGTGGTGCAATATGGGTAATCAGAATGGACTGGTGTATGAGGATCGGAGGCCAAAACAAAAGTTCAGTGGATGGAACTATGGAGGCGATGCAAGATGACCGAATTGCAAACGAACGGGTGTAACAGTAGACAAACCCAACACCTTACTTATTTGAAACCCATAAAACATGCCAACTATTCTGTGAATTGACCAAATCAACGTCACGAATATTCGTACCCCGACGACCACATACTTCATACTGCCCATCAACATGAAGTGCGTGGTAGACTCAAAGTTTGTTATTTGGTCCTCTTCGACCAAGTCGGCCACTTTCACCTTTGACGGAGGGTGGCTTTCGCGGCACTTTACGGTTCATTACAAGGCGCACACCATAGCTGGTATCTACTGTTTTTTAATCGGAACACTGAATATCGATCTGAGGTTTCATGAGTTGCCTTACGTGTGCGGGGACTGTAGGATGAATGAGAGTCGAGATGGGAAAAAATTGGGCGGTTCTAGTAGCACTTCGCACAGCACATCTTAGATAATTTCGACTTAGACCTAGACCTACCAACTACAGTGACTATACAAACACACAAGTGACCTGCTGACGCTGTCACATAAAAAGGTCAAAATCCTACGAAGTTGGGTTCGCTCTGTCGTTCATGAAGTCAACTTAAAGAGCTGCATAAAGTTTAACGTCGAATCGGGTTCCCGGTTTTCCGGTCATGTACCGTATGAATGAAGCACGCATTGAAGGGCCAAATAAACAAAACCTTTTAACCGTACTTGGGCAGTCTAACTGGAAGCCCCCTTTACATCCGGATTCAAATCCTGTAATTTCGAAAAAGGGTAATGCAGAACAGTCGCCAAGGTCGTGGGTTGGAGGTTTCCGTTATGCAATAAGAGATCGATTACGAACACGACTGGCGTTGACTTAACTGTTCGTGTAAACAAAAACAAGTCGTAAAAGACAGAATATCCGTATACTAGCGCCGCATCTAATAATTTAGGGTACATTAATTATTGCACATTTGGTGGCACGGTAAAGACTGAAAGCACGATCTTCAGCAACGATCTGGCATCCCGATATCATGAACAAGCTATTTCAGTCTAGACATAAGGGACGGATACACATCTACTACTACCGCATGGGCGGCGAAGATTTCTGTTATCAAAATATCTTAGGGTAGTTACCGAACCAACAGGCAATAAGGACAACAGGCGGTGGTCCGCCCCCGGCTTTATTAACGAGGTTGTGCAGATGGGCTAAGGGACTGATGTACCAAATTAGGCCCGGGAGCTAAATAAGTCGTGGCATATGCATGCAGATAGGCCGCACAACCGATGTGCGCATCAGCGAATCAAATTACAGCTTTGCAGACGCCACTAAACTCAGACGTAACAAACCTGTAAGTGGATTGACAACGGGCTGCGATAGCCTGAAGATTGGAGCCAAAGTCAAAGGACTTCCCCATTGCTGTTGTAATTCATCTGTTTAAGGACCTGATAAGCACAGATCAGTGCGTTAGAGGAGCAAATTTGGTGCCCATAAAAAGCGTTAAATAATAAAAATGGGTACCTTATTTTGACCACCTGACAAGGACCCAGTAACCAGCTAGCCAAGATAATTTCAAAAAGCTATCTTTAGTTCCGACTCACTTGGACGCAGGTTTATTTTTGCATAACAAATGCGATCGGTTAACGGTTGTACTGCCGACGTGAAATGTAAACAAGTTGGAATTACTTTTCGAGTAAATTGGGTCCAAACAATTTTAGCTTCCAAGAGTTCTGACTGCTCCGGTCAAGAGTATGGCAAAGGGGGTTACAAAAAATAAATCTCCAGTAGAGACAAGCATATCCCCTAGGTATACGCCAACTACAGTCCCAAAATACAGAGTACCTACATTCCTCTACGAAGAGAGATGCAAACTAGTATTACTTAGCACAACTAAGGTTGGTGCACCTTAAATTCTCAGTTGCTGGGTTTGGAGACGTGTCGATGAATAGTGCCGATCCACAGATCCTGAGACTTTGATTTCCGTTGCCGAGTTGTGGAGGCCCGTTTGAATTCGCCGAAAACTTGACTGGTCGGACAATACCTCAGCTTCATCCAAAAGCAACCGCTACGGACAATCCTACGGAGTGACAACGCCTTGTGGCTATTCGAGTATAAAGGATAAAAGGAGTGAATTTAAAATTTGTGGCCGAAAACCAGAGGGCTATATTAGTAAAATTACTTTTCTGAAGAACTGACAAATTAGCAATATCTTCCGGTACCCGATTCCAACTTTGGACAAACCGTAAAAGAAGGACAACACTAGCTTTCCTGTCAATTTTGTATCAGGAAATTGCTTGTTCAACCAGCTAGTAGACAGTTGACTTGGACGATGATTGTTGGTTGGAACAACCACAGGGGACGGTGCACATGGACGTGTGTAGATCAGTTGAAACCTATACCCAGTGGACGGGAACGGGATCTAGCACTCTAACGACCGTTCATAAATTGAAGGCCATGAAATGATGCACAAAAACGGCGGAGCGGGTCATGATGAAAACACTTGTTGGAAAACAATATAATGCTTTATATTGTGTGGCTTCTAGCAAATTCATATTCAGAACTGTTCGTTTGCTGCCAAATACCCATTAGAACAATTCGGGATATATGATGTAACCAGAAAAATTACTGTATTTCATTTCAGTGCACCGAATAAGTATCCCGTCCCACGGTCTCAAATCCAAATGAACGGGGGAGCGGCATGTGGTAAACTACCGAAGCGCACAATTTGCAACGGGTCAGTTCGGTTTACTGCTCGCAGCATAAACGCTGCAGATTCATCGAACGATTTGGAAATATTCAACAACGGAAGCTGTAAAGAAAGGGGTGGCTTACTGTTTGAAATCTTCGAATAATCAGATTCAGGGTAGATGGCGCGAAACATGTGGTAAATGATCACACAGATATTGGAAAAGACATCGCTGGTCATTCCTAAGCTGCAATCAGCCCAATGGACGAAATACATAGATCCAAACAATGATCTTAATCGAAATAGGGATGAAATTGACACCAGCTAGGGTATTTTGGTTACAGGTTGATCACAAGAATATGTTCTGGGTTAAAGGGCTCCTACGTGAATAATTATAGTCGTCTGAATGAACAAGTGACGAAGAGCGTAGCTAAGTATGTGGATGGCATTCGGCGTAATTGACGAAAAATGGTGTTTTTCTTCGAAACTCACGTTTATGCTAGACAAAACTTTACACCAAGCAACACGACGCACATGGGAATGAGTAAAGTGAACACGTTCAAAAGTAACCTAGCGCCCCGTCTCAAAGTGAAATTACTAAGAGCTTCATGAAAACCTTGATTTACAGGGTTTTTGGAGATGTTTCTAGATGAGATGAGAGTAACTAGCCAGCATGGAGAAAACTCGACAAGTCAGCTCCAGGTAGCTCATAAACACGGTACCATCCTTTTATGACAAGCGCTATTCGGGAGTCCTCAAGCTGATCCTTAAATAGTAGATTGCTCAAGTTGAGGTTGAGACGAAGCCAGAAGCAAAAAGTCCAAACCACTATAAGGTTGTCGACAAATCAATATGTTCTGTCTCATTAAAGCGTACTATTCCGATCCCCTTGAATAAAGAATAACATGAGTAAAATCATCTTATCTAACATAACTAAGAACATGTGAACCACGTTTCAGCAGAGCTTATTTGAACGCTTCGCTTTTGACACAAAAGCTTCATCAAGCCAAGCTCTTGTATCAAAAACGAAACGCTGTCCACATAAAAAACCACCGATTGTTTACCTCCTGAAACCCTTCTGAAACGATTCCTCAATCCGTTCCAAACTTTTTCTAATTGAATGAACCATGTTTAAACACAAACCGAGGATTACTTATTGTTGCTTGCTGTGTTTTAGACAAGTAAAGCTCGGCTCACTTCCCTATCCATCGGAGTGAGGTGAGGGTCAGAAAGGTAATAGCCAACCACTTTCAAAGCGGTTCTGGTCGGGTGCTAATCTGTCAGGGTTCTGCTGGCATGGAAGATTTACACTGAAAAATGCCCTGCTGGAAGTAGTTTAGATGAGGGTTTTTATAGCCTACAGAAATTCTACATCAACGATGTAAAACAAACTTAGAAATATCAGAACTTATAAAGGAGTTATTAACTAACGAGAATGCTAAGGAGCGCGGGCGATTCTAGGTAACAGGAGCAACAAAATACTGGTCATGCATGGGATAGCTGTGAGTTACGCCCTAAAGTGAAACACGTAAACAGACAACTTGATTTTGTAAAAGCATTCACACTCACGGCTTGGACGAAACGAGGAAATTCGGACGTGCAGCAAGGTCCGGATGACCGCTTATAAATTCCGTGGTTGGACAAGCAATCCGCTCTCAGAACTCACGTCACAGGTTTCAGCAGAGATTAGATCAGCAAGGAAAACAACCGAGCATGACCACTGTGACCACTTTCACAGCCAACGGGTGAAAACTGATGAATACAACGACATAGTGGTCAGTCACTGAATGCTTATAACCATAAAACTTTGGTGGAAATATGTCGAACGTGTGGTATTCGCTAATTTCGAATGAATACTTAGGTAGCAATCGTCGACAGGAACGTTCAATTGATCTAAGTACATGTGAGAGCAGGAATAAAGTGACACTCCCAACGCCGAAGGAAACAATGGTAAGCGTGTGAGCGCATAACATTTGACCAGCAAAAACAGCGAGACAGTGAAATGAGTATCAGAACCGCCAATAAGGCTAGCGATTTACTCGAAGGGGAACTCGCAAAATTCCGGCTCTAGCAGAACACTTAGGGAAGGAAAGGATGGTATGAATTCTTGACCGCGAATACGACGGCGCTGAAGGGGGGTACATATGGCGAAAACTTAAGCCAACGAATAATCAGACACCTGGCAATTCTAAATAGAGTATTACAGAAGCTACGCCAACTCAGATCCGCACACTAACTGTAGGGTTGGCATCTCAATTATTCGCAGGTCATCACAAATGACCACGGAGCCGTCATGCACCCGAATTAAACAGTACTTGTGAATTGATTTGATCCCTTCGGCAACGACGTGAGGAATTTCACAATGTAACATTTTGCCGACAAAATGATAGACCCAGATAAAGTTGGAGTAGTAACACTTACTTTCTCTTTCTCACGGTGCTTTTCATCTTTCTCCCGTTTGCGAAGTTCGGCCAAATAGTCTTGGAACATTGATTCTCTGTCCCGCGACTTTTCTATGCCCTTGAACCGCGCATCTTTCGCGTACTTTGTCGAAAACTCGGTGAAGGAAGATCTGGAAAGAGCAGACAGATGTGACTAACAACGACTGTATACCAAGCGCACTGTCCGAAAAACGCCAAAGAGACTAGCTTTGACCACACAATAACGAATGCGAACTGCTGGTTAGCTTACTTCGACGTCAACTCCGCTTCTTCGAGCAGCTCATTGAACTTCTCTTTCCGCTCCTTCAGTTTGTTTTTCTTCTCGCGCCTTTCTTCTTCCGCGCGTTCTTTGACGTACGCTTCGAACGTTTGCTTTCTCTCTTTGCTGGCCAAAAGAAGATAGCGCGGATCGAAGACAATTTTGTGCAACTCTTTCTCCCATGTAGAAAAAGCAGAAACCTGAAACCAAAGTGAACCAGATTTACGATAGAGACAGGGCAACTCAAACGGCAACACCGTATTGATCCTCAAAGAAGGAAACCGACTTGCGCTAAAAGTCACCTGTTCGCAGTCATCAGAGACGAACACTCACAGTTGTTCACTATAGATAAGCCACTGAAGAAATCGTCGTACCGAATGAATTTGAATTTCTTACGCTGTCCGTTTACTCCACCTTTGTTGCAGAAACCCCGGGTGTCTGGTTAAACCATTTTTATTTCTTTGTCTGCTTTTCATACACTTTCCAACGAACGAATTGGAGCAGTTGTACGGCATTTAAGAGCCAGCGTCCTCGCACCATTACTCCCGATGGTGGATAAATTTCAAAGTTAAGCGGAAAATTCACATCCCCCTAACGCTTCATGAGTATATCCTATGAATGCTAACCACGCATGATTCCATGTTTGGTTTGTCGTTCGTATGTGGAAACGGAAGGTAGTCTAGTCAGTACAAGGCAGACCGTCAGATATGTGTTGCGTAGCTGGCGATGTGGGAGGACCTGATGTTCAGAACAGGTACCGAATGGATCTCGCGTAGGGTCAACACTCCTAGACAACAAGTGGACTAAGTTCCAGTTGTTGTAGTTGTTCGAAGGATAGACGACCTTCTAATCGTGTATGTATTCGAAGAGATGATTCCTCCAGACTACAGAGCTGTAGCACTCGCGATCAACCCAACTTTTGAGGAACGCCTTTTCTACACAACACTGAGGGCTGAATAGTTAGCGAACCAACTTGGATGATTTATCGCTTCTGGAGAACGTGCTATAGAAATACAGCTCACCCTTCTTGAACAGTTGGTCGGGATTGCGTTCAGAACTGACTTCTCCTGAGGCATCATGGCTGAAGAAACCGAGCGACTTTTCCAACATCCCAGAAAATACCTGAATCACCAGGATGCGATGCACCGTATAATCCTCACAGGATAGAACATGAGGTCAGCTCCCACATTATACACGTCTGTGTGCACGTTCTCTTAAGAGGCGATAGAGCCTGTAGCTGTGCAGAAATGTCGATAGCCTGCAACAGTGAAGCCCTGGGGCTCGAAAGCGATGCTGCATTGTTGATGACAGTGCCTAACCAATAGGCGTTTCTGAGAAGCGATTTCAAAAGGTCCTCGGAGTATCCCTTTCTCCCAGTCACGGCTGTGTCGCACCTTCACTCTGGATGTCAAACAGTTTTTAATGCTAGTTAACAAGCAGTGTCTGCCAGACCAGAGTTGAATAATAAAAGACTGCCTTGGTGAAAAGCACTTCACTGGTTGCTTCTAGCTTCTCCCCCGCCGCAATCGAGCTCCAGAAGATACCGGTTGTATTCGATTCGAAAAAATAATGACCACTATAGCACTGGAGTATTACGATTCCATGAAATGTGACAGTGGATTAGAAAAGGGTGCCACAGAAGCCGCTTTGACGTAATTTCACATGCTTTGATGCAAACTCTAAGCTTGATAATGAAGTTTTGGATAAGAAGCTACCGACCGAAATGTTCTTAGATCGATTCTGGCTCTTTGATTCCCCTCCGTCTTGGCTTTTCCGGCAATATCTCCCGCGCTCCTTGTGGGATGCATGAAAGAAATACATCGTAAGGGTGCGACAACTGGACAGTGAGACATAACAACAGATAGGTTCCACCTTTCGAGCAATTCGGAAAGCCTCGTGATTCAGTGCACGCGATGAAGCGACAGTAGCTAGTGGCTATTCTTAGCTTCGTACAACGCAACGTAAGAGTTGATGGCTAGAGAAATGACTCCGTATCACTGGGCGTTCACCCAATATAAGCATTATTTTTGACACCTTACAAAGGTGACTCCAGAACCCCTAGGTTTTACTATTTAATAGCAAAATGCAAGCTATCTAGTCTAATTCGGCTGTGCACCAGAGCACGCCGGAAAACACCGGTAAAGCCTGAATGATCCGCGGACCCCGCGAGAGATCTGATGTTCAGACTACCTCGAGGTACTCTATGGAAGTGCATTTGGTTCAAACAGCGCTTCATTGCAATCAGGTGGTCAAATGGGTGAAGATAGCCCAAAGGTCGATTAGAGAGAAACCCAGGGCAACTAAGTGAGTTGTGGTCAGTTTGCTAGGTTTTTTAAGTTCTGATTAGAGATCACTGAAAGAAATACATCATTCAAACTGAACGCTGGTTTTCAGTCTTAGCGTAGAAGCAGTATATGCAGCGAGGAACCTCAGTCCGAAGGTCTCCACCCATATAAAACGTTCCACAGATTCTCCCACGGATATGCTAATTAGGTCTACAGAGTACATAGAGTTACATGACAATAGGTTAAAGTTGCCTCTAAAGAGGAAATATCCCTACGGCTGCAGTCTATCATAACCATGCCTGGTCAGAAATGGAGACCTTTCCCCACAGAAGCGCACCGATTGTGTCTATCAAATTTAGATAAATAGGTATGGCTTACGGCAAAAATTCCATCATTTTGATTAACCAAAACCAGCAACAAATCCGATAAAACATATCAAGATAGTATGTACCACGTTGGCTCAGACAAAGCAAAACGTAACGGTCGATCAAGGGATAATGAAGAAAATGGCATTCAACGACCAGAAATGGATGTTATTTTTCAATTAATTGTTCGGTTTGAACGCCGAAATATGCGATATTCTTCGACAGAGCGACAATAGAACATCGACACCCACAACTGCCTAATGTTTCGTAGGTAAATGCAGAAACTGTCCCCTCAGAACATGAGAAGATCCAAGGACACAAATCCTCAAGACTCTTCGAACAAGGTTTACTTTGCGACGCATTTGGATCGGACGATGAAAGGACAACTGGGACGATACAGCTTTGGAATAAAGCATGTGGAGGCTGCCAACATTCCGACGTTCTCATTAGCTAGAAAAGCTAGTCAGGTAACATCCTCACTTTCCAGTGGTCGAGATGGAAACCAGTTGCAGATGCTCTGCAGCTTATGCTGTTGTTCGCTCAGCCCCCCAGGGACTATAGTTCAACGCTTCAAGCACCTGGGCTGGGATCCCAGTCTTTCGTTCAAGCAGTTAACATGAACATGACGAAGTGAAATGCAACAAAAGATTATGGTGAACATTTCCGTTAGAGGATTACTCGAAGCTGAGCTACGAAGCAGATATTATGCCATCGACGGCGGATACATCCGAAGCAAGATCGAAAACGTCACAAAATGCGACATTGGTATGCCTTTTCAATTGTACTTCCTACATGTACTGTTACTGAACCGTTCCGGAGACCTCACAATATCGTGTAATTGAAAGTCGGATAAAGGACAAAGCACGGGGCTTCCAAATCACGGAGTTTCAGCACCTTCGGCGGCAACTGAGGAAGTTCCGGTCACGTACCTACAGCTTCCACGTGAAGACAACAGTTATATCACTGAAGCTCAGCCACTGGCACTTTGCAATTCACATCCGACGACACAAGATTTACAAATCAACTGCTTTGTCGGCCCGTGTACTGAGTGTGAGAAAGTTTGGTTTGTCAAACGAAGTCGTAAGTCGAAAGCGATGTGTTTGTACCATCACTTTATTTTCTAGCTGGCTCCGGCAGTATACGTGAGCCATTCTTGACTGATTAGTTCGAACTAGGTGATCATGACCACTTTTTAAAACCTCATGAACTCGACTCTCTGGACCTCATGTTATGCCTCAACCTAGGGAGTAAGGTGCAATCGTAATCTAGAATATCGCACGGGGGCTGTTTCAAGCGTCCGATCGTGCCAAGAACGGCATCTACACTACTTTAGAAAGAGGCATTACCTGCATTTCAACAAGCATTTCGCGGAACCGTCTGACTCGAACTTCTAGTGGCTGAACAGCCCGTTCTCGAGCTGCCCGTTCCTCAGCCTCTTTGGCGGCCTCCATACCGACAGGGATTTTATCAGGAGTGTTCGCTGGTTTTTCCGTTTCCGCATCCGCATTTTCTGGCGTTTGATTTTTTTGGGCCTCATTATCTTGGGGTTGGTTCTCTTCGCCATCCCTGAAATCAGAAAAGAGACATGGCGAAAGCTCAGCATATTTGCAAAAGAATCTTGACCAGACTACTAGTGCATCCTGTACACGAAACTGTCGTCCTGTTCATAAGACATACGGCTCAGCGCACCGCTTGCTGACTGCCTTACGGATGTTTTTGCAAAGATGACAAAACGTTGATACGTGACAAATCCATCACCAGGGTTGAATACATATGGGAGCCAAATGGAGGCAAACGGCCGAGTAAAAATTGAGGTAATATGGATGCCCAAGCTACAGTAGGCTTGCAATAAGTTGCTAGTCCGTTGTTTAACCAACCAAAAAATGACCTGCAGTGAAAAGACGGCTGATATTCATGGCTGATTTGCGGGTCAACAACAGTCGAGCTGCTGGATGCCCGTGGGTAGTTGGTAAACCAATATATGCCGATGCACACCAGAGGGAATGCGATTCGTGGGAAAGTACGTGAAGATCTGGTGTTTGCAATTTAAAAAAATCGTTCAGTTGTAGCACCCTTCCGGTGCCTAACTACCATGTCACCAAAAGGAAGCACGAGGGCTGGAATATTGCCTGGTTGCCCAAGCCCAGAGAAGGGATGTCGAAAGGCAGAGGTAGGGTTCGAACCACGGACCTTCCGGTCAGTAAATTCGCGCTCTAACCACTGAGCCATCCCATAATTTGCTGGCGTATGACAACTCCCTTCTATCCACACCACTTTCATGCATAATGACTCAAACTCACACTAGATTTGGTTCGCAACACAGGCAGTTTGGGTAGAGAAGGGTCCCTAATAAAATTGCACGCCATGGTTTGCAGTCGAAACATGGGAACATCAAAACGCTCTCTAGATGGACTGAAATCAATAACACCGTGTGGCGACTGCACAGACCTTAAAGCCGACAAGACCTGTGGGTGACTGAGCTGACGAGGGACACAGAAACACCAAAATGGCCCCCCTCAATCCAACTCACTTGGGAAATGAAGACGAGAACGTAAATTGAAGCCAATCAACGAAAACGATAATTAGCTGTCACTGGCCGAAGAATGTGTGGTATTCGTATTCACATGACTTTTCTGAAGTCTCCATCCTGTCCTGGTGCATTTATTCTGGTGAGCTCCCATGACAAAGCCAACACTATTCCAAAACAACATCGAAGTAACAAGTTGAAAATGATAACAATGTAAAGATAAACGTTCGGCTACAGCATCCTTTCGGTGGCTAGCTACTATGCCGTCGGAAAACAGCACGAGAGCTGGGATAACGTCAAGTTGCCCAAACATAGACAAGAGTCGAGAGAGATAAGGGGGTTAGGTTCGAACCAGGGACCTTCCGGTCAGTAAAATTTGTGCTCTAACCACTGAGCTATAAAATAAAATACGAAACAATGGCTTTAGTAGATGCGATTGATAAGCTCCATGTGCAAGCCAGAACTGCACAGGCAACAGCATAGCCAATGTTAAAAATCTTGAGTAAACTTACAGACGAGGTTTCTTGGATGCAGTCTCCCCACTATCACTATCAACTGACCCCGAAGACGGATTGCCCTCAGAACACCCAAGCTTGCCAGGGTTAGCCGCTGTGGGTTGTTTTTCGAGGAGGCGGTCAACATCGGCACGTCCTTTCAGTTCCTCGGGCTTCTCCCAAACAGAAAGCCGCTGACTTGGATTAAAGAAGAACGCACGATCGTCGCCAGTCCAAACAACACACCACGGAGTACCAGGGACGGCAGTACTCGATACTGGCCTGGTGTTGTCCTTCGGAGTCTTCGCCGGTTCTTCTTTCGTTGAAGTATTTTCCCCAGACGATCCATTAGACTTCTCCGAGTCCTTCGCTTCAGAGGTAACTTTTACTTCAGCAGTTACCTTGTTCTCTGTGGAAACTTCTGAAGGAACATCACTGTTCGACTGTTTGTTCTCCAGAACCTGGAAAGAAACGGGTAGAAGGAAACTCAGCATGCACGAGCTTTGAGCGATCGACGTGATAAAGTAATCCGCTACTCCGATTAGGGCACCTAACTTTGAGCCTACCAGAAGAGGTTCCACGGAACCAAGCTAGGTTGTCCTGTGCCACTGTCGAGAAGACATCAATCTGTAGTAACCAGGCAACTATCGCTTGGCGGTTTTAAAAGTGGGATACAACCTAGAAAGCTGATTAACCCCGAATTTGAAACCGAGAGGCGGAGTAAGGTGCTACAATGGATCTGGATATATCAATCAATAGCCGATCGCAAGCATGTGGTAGGACGCACAAAGACCTTCATCAGTGGTACCGATTTGCATTGAGTTTAATGAGTCGATTCGGTTTGCGTGCGTTGATCAGAAAGATGGGATAGATGGTTAGTTCAAATGTATGGAACTAGAAAACGGAACAAGGCGCACCTTACAGGCCCGCCTTTTATATGAACCACGACCATGAACCCGAATGCAAAAGTGGACTTATTCGGAGAAAATGTGGTATGGCAGACGCCAGTCAGATAGCTTCTTGGTCTTCATAATGAACTGCGGTCACGATACACTGTGGGTGAAACCCGAAATTCACCAACTTGAATTCCTTAATGCAATAAGCCTAAAAAACCAGACGTTTGTCGCAGCGAACTTTTGGTGCACAACAGCCGTGCAGCCCGCAGAAAAAATGTAAGGCCGTTATCCCGACATAAGCTACCTGCGAAATATGAGGGCGGGTTCTTTTAGAGGCATTCTTACAGGAATTCACCCATAAATCTTGACGCTGAACGCCAACTTTATGAAAATCCATGACTGTCAGACGCAGCACGTCGCACTCTTGCTGGTCTGCTCACAACCCATCGGCTCCGACCTGTGACCTCCATGCTGTTCTTGGTGAATCACTTCAGTTTTTTGCCGTTTGTTGCGACTCAGGCTTTCAGGACGACTGACGTTTTATTTCCTCAGAAATTTTCCCCCGTCTTAATAGTTACTTCGCTTCACATGGAGTACAGCTGTCATGATCGACGTGGGGATACTTCTCAGATTTCACTATATGAACCTCTGCCATTGTACTAGAATCTGAATCCGTCTTCTGTCCCGGCAACCACATCATTTACCCGCTATCCTATCCTCTTCACTTTGTTGTTGTACATTCTTTCCCGGATCGACAAAACCCTGACTGTTCAACCCAAAATCTCCAACTGCTCAGACTAGGGTTAGCGCCTGACTGTGATTACTCGTTGTCTACCTTCTTCATGGTTGCTTTCAGGAGACAAAAACCTGTGATCTAAAGTACCAAAAGAAAAGGTTAACCTTTGACGATCCACAGCCAGTTTTGCTGGTCTTGGGGTTTGCCAGGCGTCAATCGGTCTAATTTATTTGGAAACCATAATCCTCATAAACGACGCCATACACTGATTTGCAAATTAACTTTCCGTTAACAGGGGCTCATTCGGATGACAGCTGAACTTTACGTTCCATGTTTGAGTTGGAACGGTGTTTAACGATGCCGGAGCATATCTCTCCACGAGGGTTGGTGAGGCACGCCCATGAGACGAGACTCAAGGTGGAAACATTGTGGGTTGTCTGAGGGACCTTGTGAGTAGTGTCGCGTCGAAGAAAAAAGCTTCGATATCCTAAATATCGTTTAAAAGTGGTATTTGTGCAGCGCCCTCAGTGGAAGACTATTGCATGTGGGATGGTTTCCAGTTAACACGAAGCAAAGCTGCAAATGAGTGTACAGCTCCGAAGGGATACATCATTTCCATGAGAGCGAAACTGAGCAGTGAGGGACCAAAATCGAGAACCTATTACCCGGGGTGAACTCGAAGAAAAATAAAGTAGCATTGGGGCTTGACGAGGACGGTGTCCAAACACGGTAAGTGTGCAGTAACAATGAGCCACAAAGCTGTTAACTGAGATAAACGGATGAATTACCCACCTGAGGCGTCGATTGCACGGGTGCGGCAGCTGTCGCTTGCATCGTTGTGGTAGAGGGAGCAGAAGGAACAGTGAATACCGGGGTTTTCTGTTGCTCTAAAAGTAAGGAACACATCGTGAAACTAACGAGTTCTTACCGTCCCAGTCGACAAGCACTTTAGGTTTCTCCCAGGTAGTCTCACCAGTTCTTGAATTGTGGTAGTACGCCTTACCCTCTGGATTGCGGTACTCTGACCATACTGCAACGTCCGGAGGTTTTTGAATAGCAGCACCTGTGGACAGCAGAGGTGGTATTGTGGGTACGACAGAGGCAGTTGTCGATGCAGGCTTAGCTGTCCCCTCCACTTCACCCTGACGCACAACTGTGACACCCTCCGGGCGGTCCCATCGTGTCTCACGAGTACGCATGTTATAGTAGTAAGACTTCCCTTCTGCTGTTAGGTTTTCTACCCATATGTCATCTGGAGTCTTACGCTGAACCGCTGGCTGAGTAGCCGGGGGAATGGCTCCAACAGGCATAGCTGGGGGCATGAAAGGCATCGGTGGCCTGAATGGGGGCATGGAACCGGGCATCATCGACATGCCGTGCATAGGAGGAGGCATCATATGCAGAGGAACTGTCGGTGCCCCCGGGCCTAAGGGTTGGGATGGAATGAACGGTCCAACCATTGGACGACCGATCCCACCGGGTGGGCCTGGGAATCCTGGTGGCATGGCAAACGGAACACCTAGAAAAGAAGCAGTTGTGAAAAAAACCGAGTTGTTAAGAGGTAGACATTAGCTCACCGTTTGGTCTGCTCACCCAGATAGACATCTACTTATCATTTTTAGTTGAGGATCAGGATTCCTGTTGGCTGTTTGGACGAACTTTTGGTCGATATCTGGTTGATCTGATTACTTGAACAGTTGACTTGAGTAAACTTCACATTATGAGCTCCCTCTTAAAAGTTTCTTACTCAAGAGAATATTTGTCCGGGGTGTTTGTGATGAGAATCTGCTGACACCTATTATATACATGCCTGCTGTGCTGCTTCAGTTTGGGAGGGACGTTGAAAATTGGTTCTCGCTTTTTGGCTAAGGCCACGCGTTAACAAATAAGTATTGAAATTGTATTTTTTCTGTATGACGTAGGCTAAGATCTCGGTGTTCACGGCGGCGAAAAATTGCTCCCAGACCACTAACAACGTACACGAAGCCCCGTAGTAGGTTGATGGAACTTCCGATCACAGAAGATACTGTGGATGTGTCTGAAGGCAAAAATGCAGATTCGCCAACTTATTAGCAATGTTTACATATTTCCTCACAATTCTAGTGTTCTCACTTTGAGTTTACTTAACGCACTTGCCTTTCCTGGATCACTTTAGGTGTATGATCCAGCGGCAACAATGAGAAACAGCGATTTGACCAAATACTTTCGAGTCAACCTTCGAAGATGTCGGGAGCTTATGGAACACCATTGCGTCCCAAAGGTTAGTTTCCCTAATGTAACCTTCGTATGTAACGTGTCGGAGTATTGTTACCTCGAGTGCATTCAATGGCAATCGTTCAGGTTGCTGTTGACCGATCGGACCAATCAGGCTTCAGGTGCGGTGGTTATCAGCAGCCAATCAAACTATAGAATAAAGTTGCTCTTTGTCAACCATATAGGCGCAAGCACGAAGATGGAAACTATGCGCCCTAATAGGCACTGACCGCGCCTGTTTTAATGGTGGCGAAACGTGTACGAATATATTGCCAAGCTGGGTGAACAGATCAACACCCACTATATCAATTACCAATGATGTTCGTTTGTCTAACTGTCCGGAATATTTGTGTGAATGGCTGCAGTCTCCTTCAAATTGCACTTACCTCAAATTTCTTTATACAACTCTGACGCTACCACATGTTGAACTTGGAATCACCGGATCCAGGCTTACTTTTTGTGTCGCTAGAGAACATTAGGGAAAATGACCGCTCTTGCAATCATGGAAGAATCGGAGGTGTATCGCTCCACAGTCTGCGACTTATAGCGAAATTTTTATCACGATAGTCTACTTCAGTGTGAAGCCAACTGAAAATAGTGGCAACATGGCTTCTTACGCTTACTAGTTCCAAGCTATCTGTTGTGTTACTCACAAACTACCGTAGTCCCACGCAGTATGTTTGATTTGGGTTCACCACCAGCTACGTTCGCATCAAACCATTCATGTGGCGGACGGGAGTGTAAAGTAACCACTTATTGACCAAAAGAAGTCGAAATAACTATCAGGAGAGAAAGCGAGAAGCAATGCATCGGAAAGACATCAATATATGGCATTGTCCTGTGTAAAAATAGGGTGTGAGCGGTACTCATGATCAAACAGACCAAGCATCTTCCTCCACCCATCCACCCAGATTGCGATATATGACCTCCATTGAAAGCAGAGGTCGGAAAAGTGCGTCTTCTGTTGGGTCACAAACACTTTAGTCATTGGAGAGAAGTCAATTCAGAGGTAAATCCCCGAAGGTGGAAATGATATCAGTCGGTTTTAATCCCTTCGCTGTATATGATTGTGCGTCAGACTACGCTTAACTAAAAGTCAGTTTGTGCGGGTCGGGTTAGGCGACGAGACTCCTGTTAACCGAAATACTCTCTTGGTGTACCGTATCAAACTGACCGATCAA